TAAAACACCAAGGCCTTTGCCCAAAATACATTTACAGTATCTGAAATAATCCCTACTATTCTTATACTACCTACTACATAAAAACTGGTCATTCTGATGGAGAGAAACTAAAGACAAGATCTATGAAGGGTGAACTTTTTTTTTTTTTTTAAGTAAACTCTACCCCCAACATGGAACCTGAACTCACAATCCCAAGATCAACAGTCACATGTTCTATGGGCTGAGGTAGCCAGGCACCCAGAGTGAATTTCCATTTAAATCACTAGTAGGGGCACCTGGCTGGCAGTCGGTAGAGCATGCAACTCTTGATCTTGGGGTCATGAGTTCGAGTCCCACACTAGGGGCACAGATTACTTAAAAATAAAATCTTTAAAAATAAATAAATAAACTAGTCAAAGACAAGGTATAATCATAATTCTCTAACAGAAGTACCTTTTGTTTGCTATGACTAGAAAAAATAAAAATAAAAAGGTATACTCCCAATAAGGAAAAAGTGCACAATTGTTTGAAATGTGATTGTGAATATTTTTCAAATAATTTTTATCAGTATCTCAGAAAATTAAAGGATTGTATAATTATCTTATTTAACAACATATACTAAAGCAGGTACTTGTAAGGTCAGTGAGATGTTAATCATTTTCAATGCAACAGGATAATCATATATATTTGGGGAATACCAGGAAAAAAACAATTACTACTACAACAAATAACCATAGTTTTTTTCTCAACTAAAAAGACACCTATGTGTTCTGGATATTTTTAACAAGTCATATACTCAGGGAGCCTGGGTGGCTCAGTCGGTTAAGCATCTGCCTTCGGCTCAGGTCATGATCCCAGGGTCCTGGGACTGAGCCCCCATCTGCTTCTCCCTCTGCCCTTCCCCACACCCCGCTCATGCGTGTGCTCTCTCTCTCAAATAAGTAAATAAAATCTTTAAAAAAAATAACAGTCTCTTTTTTCAATAAGGCATAAAAATTCCTACTCAAAGATTACTTAAACTGGTCAACATGAGAAACTTAAAATATCAGATTATGCTGCTAAGAGGGTCTTAATCTTCCCCTCCTTACTTACTTTTAGCACCATCTCTGCTTTTTTTATTTCCCAAAGAATTCCTTTTTTTTTTTTTTAAGATTTTATTTATTTACCTGAGAGAGAGGGAGCCCGAAGAGAGGGAGGCGCAGAGGGAGAAACAGACTCCATGCTGAGCAGAGTCCTGGGATCATGACCTGAGCCCAAGGCAGACGCTTAACCAACTGAGTCACCCAGACACCCCCCCAAAGAATTTCTTGATATGGAAGTACTTAGTTCAAAGGAAAAAAACATTCTTCCTAAACTATATAAGCAACTATTACTAAATATTAATCTCAATTATTTCTTAAGTATTCAAGTGCCTTCTAATAGCACAGCTTTGTTTAAAGTAGTAAACACATTTCCTTGTACTAAAATTATTATAGCTATTATGAAAACCTGATTGCTAGAACCTCAAGTCAAAGTACTGCTGATGATTCATGTTTAATCTAGACATACTTCCTTTCCTACAATTTCTCTAAATTAATACAAGAGAGTTTATGAATACCATAAAACAGGGGATCCAAAATATACTCAACTGGCCTATTGTGACCTTATAATAAAGTTAAAAGACTCATTACATAAAAATTTTACAACACTATTTTTTTTCAGTGGCATATCAGTGTTTTTCCCTCCATTCTTCTAAAAATACCATACTAACTGGGGGACCTGCAGATGAGGGAAACAAACAAAAGGGCTGGCCAAACCTATAAGCCGTATTTGTCCTCACAGTTCTACCATTCTTCTTTAGACCACACTTAGTCTCACCCCTTATTACTATCAGATTCACAAGATTCTTAAAGGACTCCAAGAAACCCAAGCTTCTCACTACAACTCAACCCCTACCATGCCTTTCTCTGCTGGTCAGTGTTCCTATATGCCACACCTCTCCTGATCAATAAGTACATAAAAGCTTACTTCTACATTCCACTGCCTCTGAACCCTCACCTGTTTGTGGATCAGCAAGTTTATTTGATAAACTAATATGGGATAATATTGCCAATAAAAGATAATAGTTTAAAGTTTCTCTTCCAGAAAATTTGTGATTTTAAACAGATCATTTTAAAAAGAATCCCATAACACACAGGAGACACACAAAGTTTGGCACTGGCAATTCTCAAATTATACTACACAGTCAACCACCTAATCTACCTAACTGTAATGTAGATCCAGTTACAACTTAATACAGTTTAAACTAAAAATTAATGTAGTCATATACAACCAGTACTGAATATATGTCTGGCTTAGATATATGCCTCATGGCAAATGTCAAGTGAAAACTAAAACTACAACTGTATGGTTTTATTATAAGTCCTGTATCTGTTAAATATTCTCATTTTCACAGTAGAGCAAATGACCCTCTGTAGTTAATCCAGTTAAAATAGGTAATTTTTTTTTTAATTTAAAAAAATTTTTAAGTATCTCTATATACCTCTAACGTGGGGCTTGAACTCCCAAACCCAAGATCAAGAGTCACATGCTCTACCAACTGGGTCAAGGAGGAGCCCCTAAAATGGTCAGGTAACTTTTTAACCTACCCAGAATAATTACCTTAGCACACCATATATGAGGCCTTCTCAGAACATTTGATATTTATGACTTACAGTGTCTTTTCTACTTTATGCTTTTCACAACAACTTGGTAAATTACAAATATAATTAGACTGTTTACTTCAAATTCTAACAAACCACTTGACTGCATTAATCCAAAGTACAGTCTCCTATGACTGAGATGATTTAATACCATTTCATTCAATCTGCAATTAATTCTATAGTTACAAGTCTAGAGCCTAGTACATCTTTCTGAACAACAGGTCCAAGGTACTTTTTAAAAACCAGAACTGTATGGATTTTGTTCTATAATAATCTTGTGAAGAAACCTCTAGACCAGAAATCTCAAACATGAGAATAGCTAGATAAATTTGGGAGAAAAAACTTTCCCAATACCTAATTTCTTAACAGTGGAAAAAGAATGCTCAAATGAAATGCCCGAGACATTATGTAGAATATTATAAAACATACCAATCCTATTCAGTTTTTCTATACAATTCTATTTGGAATTTCTATACAGCTACAAGTCCACCGAGATTAAGGACTATACCACTTAGAGCTCTTACAACCTTTCAACCCATACTGAGAAGAGTATGAAAAGAGCACAGGTACTGAATGAATGCAGAATTAAAACAATTTGGGAGAATTCTTGAAGCCAAAATCTACATACAGTGCTTACTCAGCTATCTGTAAACCAAATTTTATTAAAAACAATGCTTTATAAACTACCCAAAAAGGTCATTAAAACAGAGATAAAACCTACACGAGTCCAATAATTTATTTTACATTCCTTTAAGTCACATATTTGGCCCTGTTCTTTAAACAAATAGGCTCAGCAAGTATCCAATATGCCCTCACCTCCACTTCCCACCCCCTATTCTTTTGGTCCTAAAAGACAAGTATGAGGTTCAATTCAATCCTAAAAGACTGCTTCACCTAAGAGCTACTTTTGCCTTGACTTTCTTTATGACCTTGGGGGGAATCTACCAAATGACAACTATAATGAAGTTGGCGTGTTCTTGTTTATCACTGAAATTTAATCCTAATAACCTAACATTAGTGAAGTCTTCTAAACTGAACCTAGAGAACTGAAAACCTTTGAGTTAAAACATTGACTGATGTGTAACATGAACCATATTTTAAAAATTTAATTTGACTAGTTAAGGGGGAAAAAAACCCCACCAAGGCCCCAAATCCAACGAGATGGAAAAACAAATTCTGAAAAACATCAGCAGTCTCATTACTTCTCTTTAGGACAACTGGTCTGCAATGTTAAAAAAAAAGGGGGGGGTAATAAAACTAACTTTAACTAGCGGTTTCCTTGTTTTTATAAGGATTACAGTTGGACAACAAAAGAAAATTTAAAACTTGGCAAAGAATGGGGAAACTATATAAAGAAATCTACAATCTGAAATTTACTAAGATACAACTATCATTTAAGTCACTAATATGTATACCCATATTGGGCAGTAATCACGGTACCACTTTATTAGCACTAGAAAGATAAATCCTTGCCTTGGAGGAACATTTACTAAGTACATTTCATTTCAGGATCTTAGGGCAGTTTAGGAGCAGTATCTCTTTAGGCTTCCCTAAGGTACTCTAAAGTGCTTAACATCATTCACACATCCAGCCACCACTAGGGTGAGAAGTAAATAAACACGATTTACTTATGCAATTATTTACCACAGAATTCTAGTCAAGAATGAAAAAGTAAACATCCATATAGTCATTTAACACCCAAAGAAAGCGTCGAATACTACGGCCGTTAAGATTCACCCTTAATTGACCACTACAGAAACCACAGGCCTTCCACATGGGCTGTCCTTTACTACAACTCTTGATTCGAAAAAGTAACAATGTCAACTCAACATTTTAACAGTACAGAAGATAAACAGAACTTGATGAAATCTCTAATTCCAGACCCTCAAAAGATGTTTATAAAAACTGAGAAAGAGCAACGCCCCCCTAAAAGCACCATACTAGAAAGAATGAAACATCGAAAACATTAGGTGGGCCAGGGTTAGAAAAGCTGATCTAACCCAATTACCCGGAGGGACCACAGGGTTTGGGACTAGGAACGTAAGATCGGGGTGGGGGTGGGTAGCAAAGTGAAATCTAACCCCAGAAATCACAACACAGGCCGCAGCCTGGGAGCTGAAGCTGGCGGGAAGTGAGCTCCCTTTCTGTTCCCAGGGGAAAGTCCAGAGAAGAGCGGCTCCACACGGCGCACTTACAAGGCGCCAATAGTGCATGCCTACCAAGGCACCGGAGCCGCTGGAGAACCGGGTTAAGAAGGGGAGGAGACCCCGGCAGACGGCCCTGGAAGAGGAGGAGGACTAAGGTTGGAAGCAGCGGCAGTGTCTGGACGAGGGGGATTACCTAACTGTGACGACAGAAAAGTGTCCTCAGGCTCCGGCGATGGTCCCGACTGCGCAATGTGTGGTGTCTTTCCCGCTTAGCCCGCAGCAGCAACAGAACCAGCTCCTTCAGCCAGTCGCCATTTCCCGCCTACCGACCTGCTGCACCGCACGGACAGAGACCCGGATGGAAAGCGGCCTCTCCGCGCAGGCGCCTTGACTTCCTCCTCCCCCTCCCGCCACAATTCCGCGAGGTGGGAGGGAAGGAATGCGGGAGGCCTCACTGGCAAAAAACAAAACAAAACAAAACACAAACACACAAAAAACAAAAAACAAACAACTTTTGCTTCCGTAAAGAGCGCTTGAGTTCCTGCCGCCAGAACCAGCTCACAAGCCAGATCCCTGACAAAAATTGAACGCAGGCCCTTAGGACCGATTGGAGGAACAAGGACAAAACCTATCAGGATACGCCAGGGCCTGGGGCATATTTGTACTTTAGGGGCCTCCGTAGCTGGCTGTGTAGTGATTGCAGGGGGAGTAGGGAGTAAAGCGTTGGGAGTGAAGAGGCGGGGACCCGAAAGACGGTTTTTCCTCCCGCTGCTAACGGAACTGCTTAGGCAGAGCTGGGAGGGGGAGCGCGCCCTCGCCCCGGAGGCGGGGCTTAGGAACGCGTCGCTTACCCTGGCGGCTAGGGTTTAGTAACCCCGGCGCGCCAGGTGGGTGGAGCCAAGTGGGACAGGGTGGGACTAACGCCTTGGCGCGCTGGAGGAGGTAGTGTGTACAGAACGCTGCCGGAGGCCGTGATGAGATGAATCCTTCTATCTTTCCAGGGATCCGGGTGGCCCTTGAAGGTCCTCTTTCCAGCTCCCTGCCTAAAGAGCATTGCAGTTGCTTGTGGATCTGTCATACAAACCCACGCCACTCGACTCCAAACGATGTCGGCGGTGGTTCGGCCGAGAAGTCATTCAGGCAAATGAGTTCCTACCTGCATGCCTGGGTCTAAAGACCGTCAGCCTTCCGGGGTGAAAATGTATCAATCCAAGCGTCCAGCCCTAGTGGAATATCAGAAAACCAAGCGTAGTGGTTGGAAGAGCATCATCTGTTTACTAAAACTCTGGGCCATTCACATTATTCAATCAAGAAATATTTATTGAAAAAACACAGTGTGTGAGGACCATACTAGATGCGAGGGATACAGCAAGGCAGACACGGACCCTGCCTTCCCAGAGTTCACAGTCTATTGAAGAAGACAGACAAGTAAACAATTTAAATACAATGTGCTAAAATGACCACAAGAAATTCTTGACAGGCGTACAACTGGGGGTCTGGGAAGGCTTTCATGAGATGACATGAGGAGTTGATGTTACAAAGGAAGGGTGTCTAGGTAAAGGAAACAGATGGAAAAATCCAAAAATGAGATTGCATTGAGCAGTTAGGGAAATAGTTCTGTGCACCAGGGTTACAGGAGTTGAGGGGAAGATAGTGGAGAGAGATGAGACTGAGGTAAGCAGAGAACCCTTGTGAATCTGGTTGTCTGTCTCAAAAGTGTGGAGCAGGTGGGTTGTCTCCTGAAAGTCTTATGTACTGCAGATCCTGTCAGAGCTCAGAGTTCATTTGCACCCGGTATCTTCCTAATACAAAATGCTCTGAATGAGACGTTGATTGACAGCCCGTGGTGTAACAGTGTGCAGAACTGGTATTAGTCCACAAAATAAAAGATAACTGAAAAACTAATTGGAAGTCAACAGTTACTGATTATCCAGTCTGTATCATAGAAAGCAATAGAATACAGACTTAAAAATTACCCCAATTGATTACCAAAATAATTTTTACATCAGGTAAAAACTGGAAATATTTCTGGAAAAAAATGTTCCCAGTAGTAGTAACTTCCCAGTGTTCTCTTCTAAAACTTAAATATGCCATTTACAAAATGCTTTTATATGCAATTTGATTTTCCCAACAACCCTTCAACTCTTCAGCTGAAGACACTGAAATTTTTTGAAGATGGGGAGAGGGGAGGAAAAAAGGAAAAACAGATGCCTACCCAAAGACAATCAATCCTCTAGTAAGAAATACAATCAGGACTCAAGCTCTCCTTCTGTTCATTACACTACGTCCTACTGTCTCCTGTGGCAATGTTGTTATTGTTAGATGTAAAGTTTAGAAAGGCTGCTGGTAGCAAGTCTAAATGCCTTTGCAATTTTTTTAACATTTTAACACCATTTTTTCACAGAGGATAACTGTATTACGTTCTGATTTTCACCTTCATTTACACCTAATAGTCTCCACTAGACACTTTTCGGCAATATCTAAGTGGATTGTTGTGAAGATCAAATGAGATTATTTATGGAAAACACTTAACAAGGTGTTTTCCTTGCTCCTTAAATGATGGTTGTTAATGTCATTCAGCTTCAGTAAAAGTCCTGTCCAAGATTTTAGAATAAAGGTTTAAAAATATGAACTTTAAAAAAATCTGAAGTATATTAAGATGCAAAGCAGTAGCCATAGGAAAAAAAAATTAATGGAAAAACCTAGTGACATGCATGCTTTCTAAACTATACATAACTATTGCTATATGAAAACATTAATGAAATAGGATGTTCACTAAGCAATGTGATAGAAATATCTTGGATATTCAACAGAATCCTTCAAAAAGTCCCTTATTTCACAGTATATGGACTATATTTACCATTTATCTGATATATAAGGCACTTCACAATCCACTCCTATATTAATTCTCTGTGCGATATACTTTATCACTCTTACTACAACTCATTAAGGAAGTAATAATATTGAAATATCAGAACTGCCATTTTGCTCTAAATTGCAATGACTTGATGGCAATGATCAAGTGAAACATAACATGGTCAAAACTAAACTCTTAATTTTCTCTCAAACCTATTTCTCTCTTAGTATTTTCCACCTTATAGAATACAGTTTCTTTTTCATATTTCATCCTGTCCATTGTAAGTGCAATAAACTAAACCTTGAAAATATATCTTGAATCCAAACACTTATCATCCCAGCTATTCTCTGACCTGGAATACTTTTTAAGTCTTCCGGCTCCATTCTTGAACCTCCTTCAGTCTTTCTAACACACAGCCAAAGTGATCATTTTAAACCTCTTTATAAATTTTCGATCTCCCTTAAAATCTAAAACCTTTCTATGACATGCAAGGACCTTCATTAGGTCACTCTTGGCTACCTTACTATATTCCCTACCTCTTGCTATTTGTATTCCCATCATACTGTCCAACTAACCGTTCTTTGAAAAAGTATATTCCTGTATCAAGGACTTTGTATTTATTGTTTCTCTACTTCTAATTCTCTTTCCCTAGACCTGTGCTATTCAACAGCCACTAGCTACAAGCCATGTGTGGGTACTGAGCACTTGAAATGTGGCAGTGTGACTATGGAAATAAATTTTTAATTTTACTTCATTTTAATTAGCTTAAATTTAAAATTAATACCTGCACGCTTAATAGAGCTTCCATTTGGGGTAATGAAACAGTTCTAGAACTAGTTAATGTTAATGGTTGCACAACATTGTTGATGTACTTAATGCCACTGAATTGTATATTTTACATGTAAATGTACAATGGTAACTTTTACATTATACGTATTTTACTACAATAAGAAAATTGCTCATTGGTATTTCCCCAAAGAAGCTGAACTTATGTCCACACAAAAATCTACACATGAATGTCTATATCAACTTTATTCATAACTGTGAAAACTTGGAGCACCCTTGATGTCCTTCAGTAGGTGAATGGGTGAACTGTGATATATCCATACAGTGGAATATTAATCAGCTAAAAAGAAATAAGCTATCAAGTCATGAAAAGACATAGGGAAATCTTAAATGCATATTAATCGGTGAAAAAAGCCAACCTGAAAAGGCTATATACTGTATGATTACAATCATATGATATTCTGAAAAAAATAAAACTATGGAGACAGTAAAAAGGTTAGTGGTTGCCAGGGTAAGGGGTAAGGAAGGAGAAGTGGGACACATGGGATTTTTTGGACAGTTAAACTATTCTGCATGCTATAATGGTAGATACATGTCATTATACATTTGTCCAAACCCACAAAGAATTTACAGTAAAAAATGTGAATCTTAATGTAAACTGACTTCGGTTGATAATGTATGTACAGTGTTGGTTTATCAATTTTAACAATTTTACACCGCTGTGGGAAGCTGTGTGTGTGTGTGTGTGTGTGTGTGTGTGTGTGCAGAAATGGGGTATGTGGAGAATCTCTATTTTCTACATAATTTAGCTGTGAACCTGAAACTGCCCTAAAAAGTAAAGTCTACTGAAAAAAAATTAATACTTGGTTCAGTTATTGGAAAATTTTTAAGTATGCTTGGAACATGAGTAGGTGAACATACTTACTCAAATATAAATTTTATGAATGCTAAATACCAATCAAATATTTCCAATGAGAATTCTGTGTCCAAATTGAGATGCACTGTAAATATAACATATACACTAGATTTCAGAATTAGTACAGAAGAAAATATAAAATATCTCATTATTAGTATTCTATATTGATTACCTATTAAAATGGTAATATTTTGAATATATTGGTTAAATATCAAAATTTCATTGGTTTTTTAAAAGGTGGTTACTAGAAAATTTAAAATTAAATAGGTAGCTTGTATTGTATTTCTTTTGGATAGTGTTGCACAAGATATTCACATGGCTTGTTCTCTTACCACCTCTTCAGAAAGGCCCTCCCTGATGATCCTATCTAAAATAGCACTCCTCTAGGGGCACTTAGGTGGTTCAGTCGGTTAAGTATCTGACTCTTGATTTCAGTTCAGGTCATGATCTCAGGGTTGTGGGATCAAGCCCCACATCAGTCTCTGCACTCAGCATGGAGTCTGCTGGAGATTATCTCCCTCTGCCCCCCCGCCCCACTGCTTGTGCTCTCTCCCTCTCTCTAAAATAAATGAAATCTTTTAAAATTGCACTCCTCCATCACTATTCCTTTATTCTGATTTATTTTTCTTATAGCATTTATCAATATGAATATATAATGATCTCTCCCTCTGGCCTGTAAGTTCCATGAAGGCAGAGACTTTGTCACTGTTGTATCCCTAGTACTCAAAACAATTCTCCATACATATTAGGTACTCAATAACTAATTGAAAGAATGATCATTGTTCTTTCATGATGGAATCTTTAGGCTTATGTGTTAGGGGGTGGGGTGGACAACATCTTGAGCACTCAACAAATATTGAATGAACCTCAAATCCACATTTCTGGGTCTTTCAACATTTCAACACTCTTTTCAAATACCTATAATACAATTACATTTGTATGTCTTCAAATTCATTCTACTACCGTTGCAATTTGCAATTAAACCCAACCACAAAGAATTTTTCATTTCAATTGTTATACTTTGCAGTTCTAGAATTTCCATTAGGTTTTTTATAATTTTCATTTCTGTGCTGAAATCCTCTATCTGTTCACTCATTTAAAACATTTTCATTTAATCTTTAAACATAACTTTTAATACCTGCATTAACAAATAACAATAACCATCTAATTTTTTTAACTATGGATCACATTTCAAGTTTTTGTCTAGTAATTTTTTACTGAATATTGGACATTGTATATATGTCATAGAGGTTCTAGATTCTGTTATCTTCTGAAAAGTGAAGATTCTTGTTTTAGCAGATTCTTCAGTTACTGAGTGGTTACCTTAAACTATTATAGGCTTGGTTTTATACTTTGTTATTAGTTCATATCTATGAGAAGCCCCAAGGAATTTCATTAAGTTCTAACTTGGCAGGATTCAACCTCCATACTCTATCTCCCCTTAAATCTTGTCAGAGCTTGTTAGGGCAGGCCTAGGGAGGTCTTACCCTAGAGCATGGTCTTTATTCCCAAGGTACAATCTTTCTAATGTTTCAGCTGGATGCCACAACTGTTAGAGATCTCTACCTTGGCAGGCCCGGAAACTTGGTGCCCCTGACCACTGCTTTTAGGCCAACACTTCTTGACCTCTGGTATCTACATTCCATTCTCAACTCTGTAGCAACTGCCTTCTGGTAAGCCTCAGGTGGTCTTGCTCTGATTACGTACAGCCAAGCCCTCAGCCATGGACTTGTGGGCATCCCCAAGGATTTCTCGGGTTACCTCTCTGTATAGCTCCCTCTCCATGCCCAACCCATTGATTCCACTTCAGCTGCTCTCCGTTATGATCTCTGTCTTCTCAGCTCAGCCTCTTTACACCACAAGAATCTGGGTGATTGTGGGGCTCAATTGCTTAAGTTTCCCTTATTTCAGAAGTTTCAGGTTTGTGCTACCACAAAACAGTTGCTTCATATATATTGTCCAGTTGCTACTAATTCAGGAGGGCTAGTCAAATTACTCAGTCATAGCCAGAAACAAAAGTCTCCCTTCCCTCAGATTTTTTGGAGTGAAATTAAGGAAAGAGGAGCAGCTGCTCTCAGGTGACCCGCTGGAAGCCATGGTTAGGAAGTTTGAGGGAAAAGCTGGTCTAAGTGAAAGAAAGTAGCAAGTAGAGAGAAGCAGAAATGGGAGTTGGTGAAACAAAGGGAACAGCATTTAATTGTGTCAACTGTCCACAGGTCCAGGAGATTCCTGTCCTTAATGCAGTTTGCTAACATGGACCATTAAATTTCCCCCTTTCTCTGGGATAGTTGTTTGCATTTTCATTTGGAACACTTAGTGAGGAGATGCTTAAAAGGAATTGGGTATAACCCAATTAGAAGTGAATGTTGATGTGAAGACTCAATAACCTAGATGTTGGAAATATGTTAATGTCACATGGTTTGATTATCTTATTGAAACCATAGGGTCAGACATGTATGTAAGGGAATAGAATTTTCCAAGGCTAGCCATTATGGGAAGTAACTATCCCCCTCATAACTATGCAGTTTTTGTTTTATTTTGTTTTCTTGCAGATTCTCTTTCCTCATATTCTAGAAAATTTTGTTATAGGATATACAGGACAAGTCAAAAAGGCACACAATCTTGAGATTTTTCTAAAATAAAGGTACATATTTTAGAAATGATTTTGAAGTCATATCCACATTTTCCCTGGAATCATCCCTCCATGTATATTTTATTTTACATATTCTTTTTATGGGTTAGTAGCAAGTGACCTAAACCTACAAGGTTCTCCCTACCCTACCCTTACCCATACCTCTTCAGCCTCATTTCTCTCCCCTTGCTCATGATACTCTAGCCTCACAATTATAATGTTTCAGTTAAGTGGAAACTTAATTATTTGGAAACTTAGAGACCTTGAAACCTTGGAACTTTATTTTTAATAGTTCTTATCATTATTTAAAATTAGCTGGTTCATGTGTTTACTTATATATTGTCTGACAGCTCCAACTTGAAAGCTCCATGAGAACAGAAATCTGGTCTATCTTATCCACTACAGTATTATTACATAAGACAATGCTGGGCAGATAGGCAGCATTCAGTATTTGTTAAATAAACTAGCACTACAATAAACAACCCTAATATAAATCTTTCTGCCATTCTAGTTTAGCTTAGCCTAAAATGTATTATAAATTTGCTCAAATTTTAGTGTTAAAATGTAGCTATTTGCATCACATGAGTGTGATATGTGTATATGTATCAGAATCAGCAAAATAGTAAAACAAGTTTAATTTTAATTTATTAGAACCCAGTAAGTGATGATTTTAAAAGCAGAGTTTCCATCAAATTAACACTTAATTCCGGGCAAAAATACATGTAAAAAACCTAAATCTTAAGGCAGAAGTAAAATATTATAAAAACCAGCATGTCTATTACAGACTGTAGAATGTCAGAATTTTAAGAGATTCACATAGTATTTTATAGCACTAAAATGTTAATACAGTCAGAAATATTATCAATTGGTCCAAGATTTCTCAGTTTATAAAATGTCTGGACTAACTGAAGAAATTTTGCTGTATAAGTAGTAGCTACCATATTAAGTGATTCTTTTTATGACAAAGGCAAGAAATTTCATGGTTTTCATTTGTAAAGATTTTACAGTATTAAATATAAAGTATTACTAAAAGTATGTTTTAGATTCATCTTCCCACCCTAATGCCCAAAAGGTATATATCAATTCCCTTTAACTCCATTTTTTTTTTTAAATTCTGTGAATTATCATACCTATTCATTATAGGCCTGACTATACTCAGCAAAGGCATGAATTGCTTATTTTGATTTGGTAGAAATAACAATTTTAATAAATCACTATATATTTTCCTGGTCGCAAAATAATTTCAAGCTGAAGTCTAAGAATTTTTGCACCTCTAATAAGTGAATAGCTTTTTTACCTCTTTAAGTTTGAATTTTTGACTACAACCTGAGCACAAAGGACAGGGAGGGAAGCATTTCACGTTTATGCGCAGTTAACAGAAGGACTTCTGAAAAACAGAGTTAACAACCTTAAATTTCTCCGTATGATCAAAACCTTTTATTTTGGGGTGGGGGATAAAATTTAAAAGATTTAAATCCAAAAGCAGGGATTAACTATAACTAGCTTATGCATTCTATGGAATAGTGTCAAAAAAGACAAATGCATTTAAAATAATTTTGTAAGTCTAGCAAATATGAGGTTTATGGGTTCTTAACAACATATTAATTACAAAGATTCTTCATCTTTATTACAAACTTTTAAGCTATTTTAATAAAATGGTTGTAGACCTCACTGTACTTCTACTTATCTGTGCATTAATAAAAATCTGTTAAAACTCCTTATTTAGTACTTCTGAAAAATTCTAGTCAAATAAGATCACTATAACTACCAGAGAAGCTTTGAAATACTGATTGCAGATTCATTTCCAAGTTGATTTAGCTTCTTTCAGAATCTGGCATTTAAATCATGAATATTTTCACCAACTTGGACTCTGAAAATATAAAAATTTTAGCCAATGATGGTTAAACAGTACTAGTATGATGTGAAAAAATGAAAACTGAAAATACATTGTCAATCATGCATTTCACAATTTCATGAACTAAGTAAGGTAAAACTCATAAATATTGTTATGTCTTTGCAGGTTACCTCAACTTCCATCAGGCATCAGCTGAAAGCTAATCTGCCAAAACGCATCAGCACTCATGTAAAATAAAAGAAGTAGGGAAATGATTTTGCACACATGCTGCCCAGTGTTTGGCCTTCAGGTTCCAACCCCTCTTTTATGTAACTATTCTAGGTGTAACTCCATGAAGAGCATGAGATGAGGAGTAGATAGAACAGAACATCTGTTGGGCTAGCAAGAATATAATAGTGTATAAAAAGTTTTTCAGCTGAGTGTTCTCGCTGGGGCTATGCTATGTGCAACATATAAACTGTACAACCAATTTTTCCTATTTGTTCATTTGTGGAACGAATTAGGCTCAATAAAATGTAAAATATACATTAGTTCATTTTAAATGCAAAGATTACAGTTTTGTTTACTTTGTTTTTGACTCAACTGTAATATAACCAAAAAAATCTCTGCTTTAATAATACAATATGAAAAAGTTCACCTATGTACATGGGTACAATTCTTCATTAAAATTTTTCTTTAAATCTATCTCAATCTATCTTTACAACTGATCTTTACAACAAAAGTCAAAAACAACAAAGTAGAAATGATTCCATTTTACAGCACTTTAGGTTTTCTGAAGTTTTCCTTTAGGGCTTAAAGAACATCATTGAAACGTTGCTTTCCATAGTCTGCAGGATCCATCTGAAGTTCTCGTTCTTCATCATCTGTAAGGGAAATAGTTATGTATCAAGAACATTATTTTTAAAATCACTTGCAGAAAACCAATTAAATAATGCCTCAGGTTTTTTCTCAGCCTTAGGGTAGTTTTCTGCTTGTTATTTTATGCCTTCTAAAATAGCATTCTATTTCTTAGTTGCTTGGCTGAACAGTGAAAAGTCTGCTTTCCCAAGTCTTCCAATTACTTAATTTTTTTTCATCAAATTATTATTTTATTTTTACATTATACATATTTTCTTTCAGTGGGTAGCATTTGTATTATTTTATACCCAACGTTAGCACAATTACTTAGTACTAAGTTTTAAGGAGGGCACGTACTGCATGGAGTACTGGGTGTTACACGAAAACAATGAATCGTGGAAGATTACTTAATTTTAACAAATCTTTTGACAGTAGTTAGATATATTATAAGTAGATAGAAGTAGAGCTAGATATAGTTAGCAAAACTTTAGGAACCCACAAACATTGAGGAGTTGATCCTTGTATATAAAATATAATATTTCTACTAGATGAATTAGTCCTTTAAATTAAAGTTTTCGTAGAATCCATTCTGTATACATTTTCATGCCTTTAAAAACCAGCTTTTCTAATTACAAAATGAATCCATACTCATCACATAAAAATTATCAAATAAAAGATAGGAAAATAAAAATTACTCAGAATCCCAAAATTTAACATTATAGTGAATTTCTTTGCTCCTCTGCAAAGAGCTTACCAGCAACTTCTTAAATGAAATGTACTAACCAAAACTTAACTTTTTCTTTACCAAAAAGAAAATAATTATTTTATAATATTGGTAGTAAGATCCTCAAAGTCACTTTGCAACTATATTAAACAACTCCATATAATACTTTGGAGTTTGACTTATTTAGCTAATGACAGGTATTTCTGGGTCCTTCTTGGCTATCACCTGTCATTTCACATTACTGTTAGCTTATCTGCCAGTAGCAATCCCTTTCTAGTTTTGTTCTAAACTACAGGTTTTGAAATAAGACTGCTCAGAATACAAAAATCATGTTAGAACAGGAATGAAAAGTAATTTAATCAAAGCAAAGAGGCTTCTTTTTTGGTATACGGCTTTAGTGACATCTTTTGGCTCCTCCACAGCCTTAAAACACGATTTTTCATACTTTCTGGTTCACAGTTACAATTACCCAACAGCTTAGTTTTTGATAGACTGAGGTGTTACTATCATAATTGTCAGGAAATGTAATTTTATATAAAGAGTTATATGTTAGAATTCAAATTCACGTGTATATTACAGCTTTCTGAAATCTGTTCTTTTAGATTTGAAAGGTTTTCCACTCTCAGCTTCTCTAGTATATCCTACAGTAAAATTTTGTTCAAGAAAGATGCCATATGGTGTATGCAGTATGTATTAACTTTACATAATGATGTGTTCTTATTTCTTCTTTATGTTTATTCATAAAACATGCCAAATAAACCAACTTCCTTTTGTCCTCTCAATAACTTTCCTATTAAACTTATAGAAATTCGCATTTAGAATTGCAGGCAACCATTTTGCATCATAAGCTAACAAAATGATCTCATATCCTCAATAGCGTAATCCAGTAGGTATGATAACCTCAAATCTGTTACAGGTAAAGGCTGAAATTGTACCCATAATCACACGTGTATTTTTAAAATATGCTAACCAATCTCTTATCATAGAACTCTTTATACTTTAAAAATTGTCTTTGGGTTTTTTTTTTTTAAGATTTTATTTATTTATTTGACAGAGAGCACAAGCAGGGGGAGCTACAGGCAGAGGGAAAGGGAGAAGCAGGCCCCTTGCGGAGCAAGGAGCCACATGTGGAACTGGATCCCAGAACCCAGGGATCATGACCTGAGCCCAAAGCAGACCCTTAACCGACTGAGCCACCCTGGTGCCCCAAAACTATCTTTGTTTTTTTGTTTTGTTTTTTTTTTAAAGATTTTATTTCTTTGACAGAGAGAGCGAGAGCAGGAACACAAGCAGGAGGAGTGGGAGAGGGAGAAGCAGGCTTCCCGTGGAGCAGGGAGCCAGATGCGGGACTCGATCCCAGGACCCTGAGATCATGACCTGAGCCTAAGGCAGATGCTTAATGACTGAACCACCCAGGTGCCCCAGAAATAAAATCTTTAAAAATAAATAAATAAATAAAAGTAAAATAGTCACTGGCACCTCTCCAGAAAGCTCTCCTTAGGATTCATGTTATAGGACATCACCTATAAACACATCTTTTAGGACTTCAGTAATTAAATGAAAACTTAATCACCATGGAGCAGTGGAAAAAGCAGCTATACAAAAAAGAATTCCTAGAAATTTAACAGAAAAGTTATTAAAAGGAAAAAGTAGATATGTTGGAAGATTTTTTAAGTGAATAATTATAAAGAAAATAAGAGCAAAGCTCTAGGAATAGAAAAACTGAATTCTAGTCCAGACCTAGGCACTTATTAACAAACCTGAGCTACTTTCTAAACCTCTTTAGACCTTTAATTACCTTCTCAATAGAGTACAGATAGCAACTGGTTTTCCTATCTCAAAATAAAATAATGCATATGAAGGCAGTCTTTACTTCCCAAGTCTTCTATAAACATAAGGAGGAGTTTGTTGGTTCTATTAATTTATGCTTTTAATCAAATTTTAATATGGTGCCTTCACATTATTTTTCAGAATTCTACAGGACTTTTGGAATATTTTATTTTTCTTACATTGAACTATTATTTACATTAACTAGAGTCCATTTTCAGTGTAGCTATTCTAACCAGAATTGAAATTTCTATTGACAACCTTTTAGCATGTATTTGTAAAGTATGATGAAATTACCTTACCAAATCTGATACAGAACAGAGAACCACTAAATATAATTGTATTTTATTTCATTTTACAAAGCGGCAAATTCTGCAAATATCTCATTAACATAAAACGACTATTAAAGGAAATAAAAAACATTCATAATTTATTAAATAATTCCTAAATTCCCTCTGAAGTCAAGAAAGGACCACCTCCATAAAGCAAGCTCTACCAAGCAAGAACATCTTGGGGTAATAAGGCAGTGAGACCCCACTAAAATATGCAAATTAATCCACAGGCCAAAGTGCAGTTATCCTCTAAAGAAGGCAATCCAAAGAAAAAAATTCTGTGTTTGCTTTTACTTCTTAAAAATTATTATTCAACAAACATTTATTGTAGTGCGAAAGACGTGTTCTAAGTCCTAAACAAGTATTTGAATCATATAATCCAAATAACAGCAGGTAACTATATCCCTATTTTACAGATAAGGATATCGAGGTACAGAGGTTAGATAATTCACAAAGGTCATAGAGCTGGTAAGTGGTGGAGCTAGGATTCAAATCCAGGCAATCTGGCTCCAGAATCCAGGCACTTAAGCATTATGTTAAGCTTCCTTCCATAAGTATACCCAGTTATATGCAGGTCATATTCTATTAAGCAAACTTGGAACTTCTATGGGATTAAAGATAAGAGTAAAGAGAATGTGTAAACATCCATCTCCGTATTACAATAAAGAATGAATTAAAAGACATATCCATCAGATATATAGTGTTTCCAGAATTAATCTATTCATTGGGTCACTTAAAAGAAGGCAGGAAAAAGAATTTTTACACCAATGTAAATAAAATAATATTTCTTTTAGAATGCTTCAGGAAACCAGGAATTAAGAATCAAAATAAACCAGGAAAAATAGGCTTCATTTAATTCTACAAGAAAACACTTGATAGGTAGTGCTGTCCCAAATGATCAATACATATGAACAAGCATTAGAGATAAAGCTGGAATCCTCTAGCTCTCTAATGGCAGAGATGATGCCAAAATCTCCATTTCATAATCAAGATTTTGGGGCACCACAGCTAGAATGTCTTTAGCTGAATCCAGAACCTCAGTACAGCAACTAGAATCTCTAATTCTAAGGACCCAACAGATTGAGAAAAAAACTACTAATATTAGAAAGAGCAGAGAAGAGCCCCTAATGCTAGAACCTTAGCTGTATTTCTGAAGTGCATGTTTCAGTTTTTTTAATTGAAGTACAGTTGATACAATGTTCCATTAGTTTCAGGTGTACAGCGTAGTGATTCCACAAGGCTATACATTATTCTATGTTCACCACAAAGTGTAGCAACCATCTGTCACCAGCATGTTTCAATTTTTGATATCTTTCTAGCTGCAGAGTCTCGCTGGTGGTAGTAAAGTTTCCACTTTCTTTCCTGGGTCTGGAGGAAGATGTGTTTCAGGCATGCTCGAATCTGAAACACATTTTCCCATAATACCTGCGTTAGAGGTAGTGCTCCACTGTGAATGTGACCACAGAATTTTAGAACTGAGAAGGACCATCTACTGTAGTTCAACATTCACATTACCGATGAAGAATTGTGGTCCAGAGAGTTTAAGTGACTTGAAAAACAATACACAGCTGGTCTCCTAACTCCGACTAATGTTTTTTCTCCCACTCTATTCTACTGCCTGCTTTGGCTACAAGTGCAAACTGGCCTGGAAACCCAACCATTATTTCTACATTGAAACTATGAAGAAATGCTTTTAAATTCTAAATATTCTAACTTAATAATAAACATTTAGATTCAAATTGTTGATAAACAAGGGAACACCTATAATTGTCCCTTCCCACTTTTTGGACAGTTAATACTACATCTAAAGATTCCCTGAAAACATGTTTAAAATTAATTGGGTCTACAATAATCTTTTTTAGCCAGTTCACTCAAACTTATCCCTCTTCATTTGCTGTAGCTGATGTTCTTGAATCTTTGTCCCCTATGATAAAGGAGTCCCCTTGGTAGCTATCTTATCCTTCTGCTGCTGTCATCTAGTAAACCCCAAAATGGGATAAAAAATAAGTTAAGCGGCAACCCCCAGCTCAAGTAAGCTTCACTAGCAAATGAGGAAACCCCCAAATTTAACAATCCTCTCCCTACTTCATTGATGGTATCATCTTAGGTCATTTCCTCATATTCCTTAGAACTGATGCATTTATTTCCTTGTGGAAGGGAAAGCAGAGCAGCATGAGGGTACTGGAGACCTAAAGTGGCAATGAGAACTGGGGGTGAGAGAGGGAGAAGGGTATAGGAGAGAGAGAGAGAAGGCACTGAAGATAAATGTACTTACTATGGATAAAAGCCATACAAAATAACTGAAATTTTGTGATAAAAGTCATTAACTTTAAGATAGCCTAAAACATAAGAAATGCTTTGCAATTATAGTTGAAATTATTTGCTCTAATAAAAACCTCAAAATTATCCAATGACATGATAGGTAGCAGCTCTTATGAAAGAAAACTAGACAATGTTTAAAGTGTAAACTAAGTTTATAAGACCAGAAGTTAAAAGGTTATTATTCTAGTCACAGTTGTAAGAATAAAAACTCAATGAGAAAGCATAAAATTATCAGCTAACAATATTTACCCAGGGCCCTATGTATGCTAAGTACTTTGGGGAGTGGGGGGATGGGTGAATATGATGGCAGAAAAGGATACAAACAAAATATAAGGCAAAATAAATGAAAATTCCTGCCCACCAAGAGCTTACAATCTAATTGGTGATATGGTATACATGCATGAAAAAGCCTGGAAACAATGTTATAAATAACTGCAAAAAAATATAATCCAAACAAATCACAAAGCAATGAGAAAAAATGGTAAAATTTATGAAAAATGGATGAGATTATAGAAAAGGTGGGTATAATTTATTCAATAGCTCCAAACAGTGTTTGAGTTCTCATTAATGTATCCTTAAATAACTCTTAGAATTATTATTATCTCTTTCTATTCCCAACAACCATTCTTCCAAAACTAGAATGTACTATTGAAACAATGCCTACGTGGAAGTCAGAGTCTCTAGTTTCCCTTTTTCTATTAACTATGTAGTATTCTAGGACAACTACATTTTCTTCTGAGTTGTATAAAAACAACCCTTTTCATGAACCTAAATAAAATTCGATTACTTTAAAAAAGAGTTAAGGAAGAAAAAAAAAGAGTTAAGGAAGAAATCAAGACAGTTTACATTGGAAAATATTTCATGCATCACATTATAAAATCTAATACATCACACATTATGTTCATAATCAACTTTACAGAAAGAGAAAAAGTTCCACAAATACTACTAAATCATATTAGCAGGCAAAACACAAGCCTAAAAACTTGCAATAATGCAACATACTCTGATATGCATGCACGGGTAGGGCTGCATGCACACAGGTAAATTCTGAACTTTTAATAACTTAAAAGCTCAGAAGTTACACAGTTAACAAGGAAAATATGTTGAATCTGTGTATTAAACATGAAACAGACAAATCTTTACAAACCATTAAATATAAATTTTCAGCTTCTCAGAAAAAATTTCAGAAACAGCCTTCCTATACTGAATCAGTAGTGAAATAATCTTATCTTCAGTGTGGAGGAGACCATTACTTTTGGGGCTTCCCTTACAACAAAAAGGCTGTCTGGTCAATATTGTACCTAGAATAATGAAATGTTTTCAGATGAGAAATTGGAAAAGAATTATTTTCTCGGAGCATTTGCCTCAGGTAAACCCTAGAGCTATTTCAAGCAATTTAAATCTAAAATTTCTGAATATTCTTGAGTTTCAAATTATAACTGTATCAATAATGCATGTAAGATAACTAAAATGAAAATACTTAAATAAAATAATTAAGATCTACATATATGACTATCATAAAATTGTTTTCAAAATAAAATTGAAATCCTACAGGATCTCTTTGTATTAGGATTATAATGCCACTAATAAGTGGGGAAAATTCTACACAAATTCAACCAAAAAATTTAGAGGTGGTTTTCACGGTCACAGCATGGAGGCCAGGCCCACGCTCACCTTGGACGTCTTCCTCTCCACCATCACCATCTTCTTCCTCATTGTAAGCCAGCTCAGCCTGCTTGTCTGCCTCGTACTCACCTACGTTACCATCATCCCCATTATAATCCGCCAGTTTAGAGCCATGCTGCGGATCAACAGGGGATTCATTCTCATCAAAGAACCGGCCTGTGAAGTAGGTAGAGGATTAATTCAAGAGTAAAGAGAGAAGAAAAGAAGGGATCTACACTGGAGGCAGACCAGAAGGTAGACAAGTGAAACCTGGCAACTTTCAGGGTACTGGTTATAAAGAAGATACATTTTGTGAAGGTTATCCAAGACAAAAAAGAAGAACAAAGATTGAAAACAACTTTTTAAAAAAGAATTTCTCTTTTGTGTTAATTTTAGTACTTGCTACTTAAGGTGTATTTTCTTAAAAGGTTACCATTTTCAGGACTGTTTTCCTAATAACCAACAACTTCTCCAATATAAGTATTTGTCTAATTTACCACTTTAGAGAACAATAAATAATTTTACTACTAGATATAATACATATTTGGAATCTGTAGTCCTTTATTGCTTATGAAATACTACTTTCTATAAATAATTTTGCTAACTTTTTTTGTAAAAATAAACAAGTACTATGCAGGCTAGTTTCTTTTTGGATGCTAAGACAAACTAACAACTGAGGGCTATCTCAGGTTCCTTCAGTGACAGTGACTCACACTATAGCCTTGGATTTCCAAGGAGGGATGGGACAAAGAATAAACCATCAGAATTCCTGGTATGTGTTTTTTTCAAAAAAAAAAAGAGATAAAGCACAAGTAATTCTGTTTTATTCTTTCCCATTTCCTAAATAGGACTTTTAAAAGTCAGAGGTAGAGGAAGCTTAAGAAAGTTGACCTACATGAGACTGTTACATTGCACACATTCATAAAAATAAGAAACCAAAAAGAGCAATAGACACAGTATCTACTGTAGAAAGCTATTCAACAACTAAGTATTGAAAATAAAAATGTTAGGCACACTAAGATCTGACTCATAAGTTAAACTCTACTTTGACATTAAATTTAAGTAGCATAAAGTAAATTTTATTCCAATCCCTAAAATATAAATAACAGTAACTTACTAAAGATGAAAGAATTTAAGACTTTAAAAAATTATGAAAACTTTCTATGATAAGTCTAAAATTTTTTGAATTATATTTTTAAGAATTACATTGCAATGAGACATTCAGGAAAAAAATTAATGACTTCTTTGCTTGGAAAGAAAAGTTAAGTGCAAATGGAAAGAATTATGGAGGTATTGGTCAATTTTACAAATAGCTCACCACATCATTAGGCCAATATATTTCTATTTGCTGGGTAAAGAGTTAATCAGGAAAATAATTAAAGAACAAATCACACTTACATAGGCTTTCAAGGATGGAGCATGTTTACAACAGGACACTTAAGTAATTGGGGCCAATAAAAAGAGCATAAAGTCATCTTACATCTATTCCAGAATAAGGTTGGATATGTACACTTAAAAAAATGGAAAAGTTGATAAAACAGAGTTAGAGAAAAGAAATGGATATAAAAGAGTTAAAAAGGAAAAAAACAGAAAAAAGAAGAATATGTAAGCTAATTTGTGAGAAAGACACCTTGTCTCCTAATGAGAGTAATACAAAACATCTTAGTGGCTTTTGTTATTATTTCTTTCTCTAACAATAAAATAGATGACACCAATGTAAGCAGAAAAATGGGAGATTTATAGAGATCTATATTTTCTTTTTTTAAATGCAATATTTATTATGGTCTAAATACCTGGAGCAGTTAAAGCATCCTTATGCAATAAGAAACTGCTGTTTTATATATAAACATTTTAATATGGTAGTTACCAGTGAATTTCTCAAGAAATTTTTTTTATCAGTTATGAAATATAGAAGACTAAAAAATCAGTCTAAAAAAAGCTATTATAAAATATAGTTAATATTACCATACATTAACCAAAAAATCGTCCACCTATACCTTTTATAATATTCCAACAGAATAATTTACAGTTTCTTTCTTTTATAGGTGTTTGATGATCTGACTAGCCTGAATTCTGTCCTAAAAGTATAATACTACAATTAGTGACACTAGACACTAGACAGAGATAACCAGAAAATCAGTAACAAGAATGGTTGAAAAATCAACCACAGGGGCGCTTGGCTGGTTCAGTCGGAGCATGAGACTCTTGATCTCAAGGTTGTAAATCTGGGCATACAGATTCCTTAAAAAAAAAAAAAAAAAAAGAATGGATGACCACACCACTGTCCTTTGCTAAATAAGTAATTTGTGCTATCAGATATACAGAATTTTCACCTTTGGAGAAAGAGCTAATCCTTCATATAGGGTTTCCAATACTATGATAGCCAAAAACAGGGAGGAAAAAAGAACCAGCTACACAACGTTACCAGTCAAGTTGGGACGTCACACTTCACATTAAAACAGTGAATGAATATGACAGTATAAATAAAAATGCCTAACAATAATAAATATAACAGGCTGCTAAATTATATAATTTTCAGGCAACATATTTGCAAAAAGAGTTATATAAGGGAGGGCACCTGGGTGGCTCGGATGGTTGGGCGTCTGCCTTTGGCTCAGGTCATGATCCCAGGGTCCTGGGATCGAGTCCCGCATCGGGCACCCTGCTCCTTGGGAGCCTGCTTCTCCCTCTGCTTCTCTGTCTCTCTCTCTCTCTCTCCCTCTGTATCTCATGAATAAATAAAATCTTTATAAAAAAAAGAGTTATATAAGGGAGAAATCCGTGTGGGTTAGAGCTAGAAGGGAAGGTTTCAAAAAAGAGGAAAATGTATTGAACCATAACAGAGAGAAGGAAAGAAACATTCGATGAATAGGTTAAGAAGGTAGATGGAGTATTCAAGAGACAGTAGAGAGATTAATTTGACTGGATTTATATTAGACTGTAGAAAGAGGAAGTTTAGACAAGAAAATTAGGAATAATTATGGAAAATCTCTATAGTTAGAGACTTTAAAGGGCCTCCTATATCCACTTCACAAGGTCAATGTTAGAATGAATGACAAAGTATATGAAAGCATCTACAATGCTTTTTCATCCAACAAAGACTCACTAATGTATGTGAAAGGTATTGCACTGGGCACTGTGACGCAAAAATAAACTTACCATCTCTATTTCTGGTAACGCATTGTAGTAAGGGAGACAAACATGTAAACAAATATTTAGAAAATGATGCTGTGTGTGCTATACCAAAATGACCTAGAAAGTGACATCTGAACATGGAGACTTGCTACCATTGGTTTCTATTTGATAGAGGAAGTCTGGACTTTAGGTAGGAGGCAAAAGGCAGTTGTCATGATTTCTTTTAAGCTCTCTGAGAACAGGACTCTAATCTGGCTTATGTACCATAGCAACTCCACTGTCTATTCAGGTAAGGAGCTATGAGGACTTAGACTAGGGAGATATAACAGGAAATTAGTTAGGAACAGATAAATCAAATACATTTAAAAATGACAAATTGAGTACATGGCACAATGGAATGGAAAGACTCAAAGAATGATTTTATAATCCTAGCCTAGAAACTAAAAATAAAGATATTTGTACCCAAAATGGAACAATTGAGAAGGTATGGGAAAGCAAATGCTTTAGGTATACTGAACTTAGGGTTACAGTAAGATGTCCAAGATGCATGGAAATATGGAACTAGACTCTAGGTACAAAGTGAGGGCTAGATGTATAGATTTAAGATTGATAAAGATGATAGGTTAAATTATGGGAAGATAATTTCTATTAGAAAATGAATATTTACAAAAAACAGCTATAAATCAAAGAAGTGATCTTAGGTAATGACTGTATTTGAGAAGGGGAAAAGGAAGTAATAAGGGTAAAGTTATCACATGATGGTGTAAAGCTGTGATATGTTTCAACAAGAATTAAATATTGTACTTTATCTCTGAAGCATTTTACCTATTTGAAGATTTTTAATTCGGTTCTATCTCTCAGTAACCACAATGCTAAAACTGTGCCCAACTAGGTGAGTAATATGGTAATTATATTAGTTTGGATCCCCAAATTTCTTTACATTTTTGCAAAATTCAATTGTGTACCTGAATATTATTTTCATCCTGGTGGCTCCTTGAAAATGATTAATTTACAGCCTATCAGTAACAAGATACTAGCTCCATCCCAACAGTTTAAACATGAGAACAAGAAGAAAGAAGTAACATACGTTCTAGCTACTGAAAGTCTTTGGGTGGTATCAGGTTGTAAAAAAAAATCCGAAGAGATTGTTGATAGACTTTTCAGTTCACTTTAAACAATACAATAGAACTTCATACAGAATGATGGGTATTCTATAAAACACCTTAAACATCAGACTGCAAACTTCCAAAACCAGTAGAAAACGAAAGGATGACAACAAATAACTATAACATTGCACAATCACAAAAAGGCATTTCAATCAAGAGAACTAGACTGTATGTTTTAATCCTGTACTGGAAATCAAACCAAGGTAAGTCACTTTTTTGCTTCATTAGCTCAGGTTTCACTTTTAGGTTTCAATTTCTCAGCTATTGTATGAAAAACAGGTTTTATGTTTTTCTAGTCATTCTTTTAATATATTATCACTATTATAAAGAAAATGAATCAATCTGAGTTGGTCATAATAACTCTAGAAAGAAAAGGAAATTTTACTCTAAAGAAGGCAACCTCTTTTTCTAGCCTCATCTACTCCTGGTATCCACTTTGTACCATTCATTTGGACATCAATGCATTGAAATGATTCTTATATTATTCAATTTAACACCTACAGTTCTGACTACTTCAAGTATCCCTGAGGGTCCATGGTACATGAAAACTTATAATCTGTTGAGACATGAATTAGAGTTTGAATGCTGGAAGGGTGAGGTGTGCAAATTGTGACAAAAATGTACTGCAGGCTTTCCCCACCAAACCATGTATAGGGAAAACTACCGACTGGCTTTTGAATGGCTTACTTTGATTTCATTATGAGGCACATTATGGGGCAAAAAGACCATACTTATTTTACATCTCAAGGTATAGGACCTGCATGTAGTAGGCACAGGAAGAAATCTGTTAATTGACTGCTGACTTATGGAAGGTAAAGAGAAACCAGAGAAATGAAAGAAGCATAGTAGCTGGAAATTATGTCTAACAGCATCTGA